TATATTCGGATAAATACGGTATCGCACGGGCTGTAAATCGACAAAAATATTTAGGTTCGTGGTTATGTGAATAAACTGTGGTTTAATCGTGTTTATTCAAGGTATTACAGCCACTCATAAAGTGTCTTGTTTTGGGTGCCCTGTGCGTGAGAGCGAACGCACTGTGCACGCACGGGCGATTGTCCTCTTGGGCGCCCCCCCCCCCCGCCCGGGGGAACGGCACTGCCGGTAATTGGCACCTCCGAAAGGACCCAACAGCCTCCGGAGGCGGAACGCACGCGCGCGTAATTAGCCCCCGTATGCGGCTCCCCCCTCCCCCGCCACCGCCTACCTCCCGCACTTGCGAGCCCCACCAGATCCTGCGATCCGCTCTGTCCACCCTGTCCCCTCTTCTCTGCCTCGAGCCCCGCATGCTTCCTTCCAGCTTCCCACTCTCCGCTCCCGCCCCTGTCCCTCCCACCCCTGCCTCACTCGCCGCCTAGATCAGTATTACTGGGTAGTGAGGTTGAGACAGTTCTGTTGCGAGGTTTATATTCGTTGTAAACACAGTGGAAATTCGAATCTGCATATGATCACTGTTTGAAGATTGATATATTTCCATTGAGAAGAAAGAAATTAAAAACTAACAGCAAACAGAAATTGTCTTCCGTAAAATTATACTGATAACATTACGCAATTAGCGTGGGTTACTGACAGTGAAGACTATTAGGGACGGATTCAGAGACGAATTTTTGAGAGGGGAAATTTCAAAATATTTCTGGTCGAAGGTGTCATATTAGAGATTTGGTCAAAATGTAGGCTACACTAACTTCATGCAGTGTATACGGTTTGTATTCCGTATTAAGTCATGCCAGAATATTTTTGCGTGAAAGATTCGTGCTTAATTTAAAATTATTAGTTTTCTAATAAAAATTAGGGGGTGGGGATTTCCCTCATTTCCCCTCCCCGTGGATTCCGCGCCTGGTGATAAGTGAAACATCGAGGAATCGACGAAATAAATTAACTGTTCTTTCACCTATTTTTGAGTTATTGAGGAGTTCCAGGGCGTTAGGCTTGAAGTCTGTAGAAAATTAGTTGCTGTCGATAGGGGTAATTATAAGTGCCATCTATAGGGGTAGTTTGTTCCTTTCGTCTCCTTCCATCGTGTTTTCTTCTGCCGTCTCACTCCTCGCCAGCATCTCCTCAATCATTCCGCCGACTGCTGCCCATCAACCGCTCTTCCGTCTTCCCCCTCTCCCCTCCCCCCCCTCCCGAGGCGCCAAGCAGCCGCAGCGGGCGCCCGATGCCTTGCTCCTGCTCCCTATCGATTTGGCCCCGCGGCAGCCGGCAGCCTCCCAGCCCTCACCCTTCCCTCCCCCTCCCACCCTCCCGTTCCATTTCCACTCTCTCCCTATCACCCTCCCTTCCACCCTCTCCTCTCTCCTTCCCTTCCCCGTTCCATCCTCTCCCTCTCTCCATCCTTCGCCTTTCCCCTCTCCATCCCTCCCCGCCCCCGATCCTTCCCCCGGTCCACCGCTCCACCAGATTCACGCCCCCAGGCCCCTCGTCGGCCTCAATATCCCCCGCTGTCCCCGCCACAGCCCTCCCAAGCCCCCGACACCCCGCGGCTGCTGGTGTCCTAATGGATACGAACGTTCTCGTTTGCTCTCCGCACGATGGTCGGCGGGGCGGGCGGGGGCGGGGCGGGGCGCTCGCCGCCTCTTCGAGGGAGCTGCAGCTAGAATTACTCCGTAACGAAGTTCTTCTCCTCCGATGGGAGTTGGCCGGAACTCGCGGATGTATCGCTCCTCCGCGCCAAGTGCGTTGCGTTCGGGGCCAGAGCCAGGGTATTCTTTCGGGGGAGATCGTTTAATGAACATTCAACGGTGTACTAAATGGTGCATTTCTTCCTGTCATTTCACGAATTTTTGACGCATTTGCTACTCATAAGGATGTAAAGACTTTGTCATACATTTACACTAAACGATATTTTAGTTTATTGACTGCAGCAAGCCATGAAGGAGCTGATATAATACAGGCACGATATTTTTCCCTTATCGGTAGAGTTTTCTCCAAGCTTCCTACGTACTCGGTTGCGTTCGCCCCTCCCCTTTTCAATCGGCCAAATTTCACTAGTTAATGGTATGGATGGATATTTGTTCTCTAAGTCGTACATTTAAAACTACCCGCTCACTTACATCTTGTTAAAATATGTTGCGTATTATTGTTCAAACAGAACTAATGTACATTTTCTGATTTATCGCCCTCGTTTGTGCAATCTCAAATTCTGCATGACGGCGAGTCTCAAACGTGAATAATCGCTTCACTCTACTTACTTTTTGCACAGGGTGGTGACATTCTAGAAAAGAAGGGAAATTGAAGAATCTGGGAATTTCACTGCTCTGAGAAAGTGGGAAAATCAAAAAATTTGTAGAATCTTGAGAAGTCAAGGAAAAGTTTGAGATTGTTTTAGAACTACATATTATTCCTTTCGAAACATCAGACAACATATTATAACAACAAACTTTGTTCAGTTTTTATTTGCGGAGAAAATATTGTTAATTTGTACTTTGTCACTGCGAAATGAGAGAGCTGACCAATGAGCTTTAATGTTTTCTTTAAGATATGTGTAATTAGAAATGTAATGGGAAACATAATTTTAAAAAACGCAATGGAAAACCTGGAAAGTCCGAGAAGTTTGTTGCAGGAGATAAGATGCCGTGTGTGACAGATCCCAAGAGATCAGTCCAACAAGGGGGGGGGGCGGGGGGTCAGTTTTTTATTGCCCGGAGCCAAGTGCCGATGTAACTACGAAATGTTGTCGCTGCCAAATGGAATGCGTAAATGTTTGTGCAAATGGCTATTACTTTCCCCTCATTTAACCTTCATAAATTAAAGTGAAGGGGAAGAACGTTTTTTTAAAATTCCCCCTTTGGGGTATTTTAGCGTTTACTAATGCTATTAACATGCTAAAGGAATTCAAATGTACTTCTGCGTCCGGCATTCGATGCTATCTTCATCAATCGCATAATCGCTTCAAGCTCCAAGGAGGCGAATAAACGCAATGCCTTCCGCAAACTTGGTAGTACCCATCACAATTTCTAAAAAAAAAAAACTTCATTTTATTTTTTTTAACGAAACAACTGCCCAGGTGAGGGGGAAAAAGACATCAAAACAAAACCAAGGAAGTAACAACTGTGGATAACATGCACCGAATCGAGTCACGCACACGATGAAGCTTCGCGAAACTTCTCAGAAACGCGCAGTTTTTTTCGATGATTTTTTTTCTCCTCTCCGTGCTCCCTCCGGACACCCGTAACTGAGCTCGATAACTTACGCAGGACAATATTCTCTCTCTCTCTCTCTCTCTCTCTCTCTCTCTCTCTCTCTCTCTCTCAAGTGCTCATTTTTCCCTCGGCGTTCCGTTTGTTTCCTCAACGCTCCTTAAATTGGGCGTGACGCTCTCTTGTGAATCGCGGCAAATTGCCGGGCGGCGAGCGGGTCGTGGGCGGGGTGGGGTGGGGGAGTCGTCGGCTTCTTGCGTCGCTGCTCCGCTGGCCGTGCGTGGCGCACTCTTCGCTCTCCGGATGACGTCGAGCCCTCGTCGGTGTTGCCAACGTGCAACTATTTGCATACCTCCTGGTCTTCTTCAGGGCGAATGCGCTGGCATTCGCCGTGGGCTTCTTGTTCGGGGCAGTTTTGCCAGCGATTCGAGTGTCTGTGGTGCTCTTCTGGGCGGAATCAATATTTGCCGATGCATTTGTTTCGTCGACGGCTGCTTGCTCGGATGTCAGGAGAGGCAGGCCGTCTATATCGTTGTCTAATGAGTAACTCCGCCTTGTATGTTGGGGTGTGGGGTTAATTTATGAAGCGGGGACGGTCAGAGTCTTGAAATGGAAGTTTTTGAGATGGTGCTCTTTGTAAAGCATTTTAAATAATTTCGTGCAATAAGACGTTATTTAGAAAAACGATTAGAGTCAGGAGATATTAGAGCAAATATATTAGATGCAAGGAGGAAAATTAGTAAGTAACCGAAGCTGAGAAAACCAAGTCGGGTAGTTTACTACTCTGATATTGTATATATCTGGTATTGGAGGTAATTCATGAAAATTAGTTAATTTTCATATGTGAATATGAAGTGTTATAAAAATGTAAAAGCAATAAATTTAATGGAAGCGTCTCCTGGTCGGAGAAACTGTGTTACATCGTTCAGCTGTTTTCTCGAATTTCAAGTCAAACTCTTTCGTGTCGTTTGCTCCCAGGTTTTGGGCTTTGTTTTCATCGCAGTCGTTATGTCACAGTGGGTCGAGATTAAATCTACTTAATAATAATATTGATGATTATGTTTTGTCAAGATCAGTAAAATGAAATTATCAGAGGGTAAACAAGATAAGTCTCAATTTTCAGTTTAAATGGTTGTTGGAAAACTGGATAAAGGTCTCTTCTGGGATGGAAATACGTACTCTTCTTCGATTTACAAAGGATTTACGAAGTAACAGCATCGGTCCAAATCTCTTGGAACGGACGAGAGCGTAAGTGGAGAGCGCCTCATCACTGACTTGCGATCATTTGAATTTCATTTTACTGGGGTAAATTTTCATATTGTGAACACCATACGACCCTTCACCTCTTCATGGAATGGACTTTTTTATTTCGAGTGGAGGAAAGCGAGAAAGGGGCGTTTGATGATTCGCAGATGGAGACATATGGAGGTTGAAGGAGTTAAACTAAATTTAATTAAAATAAAGAGTCATGTGTTGATTGTTCGACTTTGAGAACCTGTGAAGGTTCAATTTATTCTGAATTTACAATTTACTCTTGAGTATTGCTTTCGTGATTGTATGCTTCTATATTGGTATTATGTATTCAAATGTTATGAAATTTAAGGATTTATTATATATATATATAT